AACAACCATTACTTATTATGGAAATAACAGTTCAAGTTTTCTTTTTCGTACTGTAAAAATAAGCCTTACAGTAGTTCGATGTAAAACATCTGAAATTATATAACATTTTCTGTTCATGAATATAAGCTTATACTTTATTTAATTCATGAAAGTATGCTGAAAATGGAATACCTATCACATTTGATTTTTGAGATAGCTATGCGCAATTTTTCAACTTATTACTTATTTAAGTGTGTGATGGAATGGATGTTAATGTCCTCCAACACAAAGGCAGGATGTTCCGATCGAGCGAGGTGTTCATGCCTGAATGGCAGGCCACAGCCTAGAGACTGATGTTGAGAAATTGCATGTATGTTAAACAGCGCGAGAACTTTCACTGCAGTGCCGTATTCACTTGTGACTTCATTAGACGGTATTAAAGTATGTTATGCATTGGTTGTAGAAATCGCCACAAATTCATAGACAAACAATTTAATTTCATGATTATTTATTACATGTACAAAAACCGCTAGTTGTTTTTGAAGTAAACGCACTATAAACAGCCCACATACGCAAAGACCAATAACTTCAATCAAATATTAATTTTAGAAAAGTCAAGGGCCCACACAATATGGAAACAAAGAGCTCATTCATCGCCTTTGTCCCAACCACTTTGTGGCTCACCCTACAGAGAACCTTTTTGGAGATTTCTTTTCTCTTTGACTCTTTGGGGCACCCTCGTTTCCTGATTCGCTGGTAGGTTAATAGTTATTGAAGCTTAGTTGAAATTGTATGTTGTAAAGGTCCAATAAATTTTCTCCGTTGGCCTCATAAAACCGTTGTCTAGATATAAATATTCATAGATCTAAAGTATGTGGACAACTGTTTCAATAATTCATTATTTGCATATACGATTTTCCTTTTAATATTCTAGGTAAACAAGTTTTTTTAGAATGTGCCGAACCACACAGGCTCCTGATTCCAGATGATGTCTTATCTTAAAAGGCTTATGTTATTAAATAAAATTGTACAACTCGGTCTTGACCAAATCTACAGTCGCCGAATCAATGCTTACGTGTGTATTGTTTCATTTTATTTGTTATTTACTGCTAAAATAAGAACCAATGGGGTATAAATGTAATAAGTAATAGTCATTGCAATTTACGATTAATTCAGTATACAGATATTGTTAACATTATGCAAAACTGTTAAATAATAGATAACTAACAAACGACGTATTTATAGTCTACAGTCTACGTGATATGTTTACTTAAAACATTCCTAAGCCAAAGAATTGTTTGCTAGATGCCTCCAACAGAACCTAAATTCTTCATTTTTCTTTTCACAAGAACATTCTGAATACATTCTTAACTCAAATATCAATCTCAAAATATTAAATAATTTGTACTATGTATTTGTACAAATTATACATAGAAAAAATATATCTTCTAAAATAAGGTTAATTATAACTAGGTACTGATTTCATTTTTTTCTAACACTATTGGGGACGTCATTACAAGGGATGGACAAGTGTGAACTTTACAAAAATAAAAAATTTACAGTGTGAGAGTGTTGGGAATGAACGTATGAATCATTGTGGGGAACTTGGAGCTTGAATTGATAGGGCACCACCCGTGATAAATTCGGTAAATCCTATTAAAACACAACTGGTTATATTCTGTTGCAACTGTTGCGTCTGATATTAGTTACAATGGCACAAAAGAAAAAACTCGTCTATTAGAAAATTTGAGCATATGGTGTTTTGGTCCTAGTTTTTAGACATACGTTCAAAGTTCTTACTAAAAGGTGTTTATTGCAAGCAACGCGACTAAATTTAAACGGCCGCGACTCTACGAAAAGAATCCCCGGTAGATCTGTCCAAAATCCAAGGAGAAACAACTGATAAAGATAGTTTAAAAAAATAAGAAGTTTAAGAAATGTATTTATCGTTGAATTGTTTATTTAATTTAACTTAAATCATTAATAATGCTACTGCACTGTAATTTTTATTATTATTGTTCACAAAACGGATGTACAATCTCACATACATATATTTAAAGTATGATAAATATTACGAAATTGCTGCCGATTGATAGTTTTAATGATTAAGATGCATTAAAACTAAAGCATGAAAATTCAATCAGTCCATCCATCTTTTGTTTGGTCCTTCTCTGCTATCGTATCCGTCAACTTCCAAGCACGAATGATAGTGGCAAATAAATAGTCCGGCACTAGTCGCACCGGGTACATGACTACCGCAGTCCTCCATGGACACCTAACTGCTACTCTCGAGTCACAAGTGCGTTGCCGGTGTATTTTGCACCCCCCCCCCCCCCCTTCCCCCAAGAATAAGTAGGTTAGGCTCCAGTGACCTCACTCACTCGGTGTAAAGCAACGAAAGAACTTCTTAAAACCGGTTTTCCGTGAGGCCGTGGTATCACTCCGGTCGAGCCGGCCCACGGTGTAGTCATCATCATCAACAGCCTTTACTAGTCCACTGCTGGACATAGGCGTCTCCTTAGAAAGGTGGTTTTGGCCTACTATACCACGCTGGCCAGACGGATTTGTTTCAAGTTTTCCTTCTCTTTGCAGTGCTTATGTCCTGGGTAGTTTACTCCCTTAGTTGGCTCCTACACCCACTGGATGAACACGGGTAGTGACAATCTGTACTCTTAATCCGTCACCACACGGCGTAGTACTGAATTCAAACTCTATAATTTGTGTTGTCATAATTTCGATTCAACGTGACCTAAATACACAATATTACTAAATAAAAGTGTAACTAAATATGGCAAAGAACCGTTACACTGTTTTTACGTTACTAAAAGATAGACCGAAAATAAATTCCGGTCTATCTTTTATTAACGTAAATACGTCGAGCCACCTTCTCGTCACTACTTACTTACAAGGATACAAAAATAATAATATCTAGTAGATATTTCGTATTACAATTATTTTACCCAATAGAGGTAGGACACAATTTTTGTAAGTGGAAACACTTGCAAAGACACCTACAAATGTCTCTGAGGATAATATTTATTAGTATATAAAATAACATGTTGCTTATTCAGAATAAAATGTACTTAAGTCTTGAATTTATTGATAAGCTACTGCCATTCATAGCAGAAAATCGATAAACAGGCCTTTACATACTTTGTGTTTAAATACATTCTGTAGAATCCCTTTTAAAAGCCATTAACTTTGTTAAAGTGAATTAATTCCTAATATCCTGGAGTATCCCAATGTATTAAAAATGTATATACTCAAGTCGTTGTCCCTGAGGTGTATAAAAGTTTTAACTATAAGTGTAGTCCCACTTTTAGTAAGAGGGGGCGAGCCTATTGCCGTCCACCGGACAAATTATTTCCGTTTATATTTCCAAAAAAAATATAATTATATATTCCTAATATAGATAAATTACACCCCGACGCAGAACAATTGATCGTACACCTCACACAAGTTTTTGTCCTGGTCAATCCCACGAATTTCGGCTTAGCAGTCAGGCTGACTAACCACTGGGGCAACAGGCCAGTTCTATTGTTTGTTGCTTGTCCTAGTATGAGTTATTTTTCTTCTCAGCCGAAAAAACGTCCACTGCTGGTATAAGGCCTCCCCTTTGTTTAAAAAACCGGTTGTGCGCTGCGCCTCCAACGACTTCCCGCGACCGTCGTCGAACCACCTAGTGGAGGGCCTGCAGTATGAGTTACTTATTGCTAAATATTAATAAAGCAAGAGTTATGAAGTATTTACTATTTCCAAATTAAATATAACGTATAATTACAATCAAAACATTAGCCATATATCGCACGGTATCAAAACATTAGCCATATATCGCTCAATAGGTACTCAAAATTATTTGAATTGTATGTTCAATACGTTCGAGTACAAAATAAAGGTAAAACATAACACAAAACACATGAAAAGGTCCAAACTGTATTAGTAAAAAAGATAAAAGATCCATCTACAGGAGTAGGATTCAAACTTTGTACTTTAAACTAACGCTTACTCGCGATTAGCTTAACAGTTTATATTGTTAATATTTAATAAAAGCGTAATAAAATCTTGCTCTTCCAATTAACTTGAAAACACATTTTTTTACAACTAGCTACGGAAAAAGCGAGGTAGAAGCACAAAACTTCTGACCATTGCAAACAGAAACATACAAATTAAACAAAACAAAAGAAAGAGAAAAGTTGAATGAACTATTATTTTGTCCATTAACACAAATATTTAAAACCTATCATGTAGACAAGCCCCATTCCGAAATTATTCGAAACTTTTATCTCAATTATGGTTTCGAATAAATATGTATTTACAGAACTCCATAAAATCCATGAAATTGCATGATTGAAAATGCATGAAATCCTGTAAATATGGTTTTCTGAGATCTTAACACATGTAGGCAATTTCATAATCAAATTCACTGTGTCTGTAGCAGACTATCCTTATTAGTTTTTAGAAGATGGCTTTCTGTAAACAATTTAATCTTACCTTTGTATTATTGTGGTGTTACAAATTCATGACTGAAATAATTAAAAGTAATAAAACTTTCACCACCACTTCTATTAACATAGACAAACATTAGGATATAAGGATAAATTAAATGGACGTTTGCTTTTATTTGAAAATGAAAAGATGCACGGAGGGTCTGTTTGTCCAAAGTTTAAATGTTAACATGAAGGGCTTTGAATGCGTGGGAATATATACAACTGCCCAAATTACTTTCTCTATAATGATGCTTGGGATAAATAGTTAAGCCAGATTTACATTGAAAAATAGCTTTCAAGCTGTACTTGTATTGTTACGTCGGGAAAGTTATTTGAAACAGACACAACTTGTTTGGATATAGAAAAAGAATAATATTGAAGTTTAAGTTGATAATTTTGTTGAGGTTATTGTACTGTTATAATTTTGTATGTTGTAATAAACTAATATATTGTATATTAAAAGGACTTATCATTTTTAAAGTATTTCATTTATAGTGTACTTAAGTTGTAGAATATTGTGTCTTGGCTAGAGAAATGGACCTCCAGCAAGTTTTAGAGAGAGAAATAAATCAGCAAAAATCATTTGATGACTCTAAGTCTAAGTATGTATTAGTATCTGAAAATGTTTACTTACCATCATTAGATCTGCCCAATGCGATCTACTATGTGCTTATAAGTACTTTCTCTAAAACAAGTAACTATTCTAAATCTATCTTCCCTATCTTCAAAGTTTTCAATTCACAAATTCATTAGTTTTCACTCAGAACTCGCAAAAAAGAAATTGAAACTGACTAGTAATAGCTTTAAGTGTTTAAAATGGCAACGCATAGGTACACGCGTAATATAAGTTACACTTATCAGAATACTAACTTTAATGTTAGAAATGAAACACTGTTACCCTAATTGTGACCTTAATTCAGACCTTGCGGGACAACATAAACATAATCATATGTTTTATAGACATCGCATTATTTTAAATGTTTTTATAATACTGGACTAAAAAAAATAATGTTTTTAACTATACGACACGGGTCTACTAAAAGAACATCATAAAACAAACATAAAAAAACTACAAAACAAGAACACAACACTATAAAATGCTTCTAAGGAGTACTAGACTCACTGTCAAATAGTCGTCGACGTTTAATTTGTTGTTTTACGTATTTATTTTGTTTTTATTACTTTGTTATACGTGCCTATTTTATTTGAACACAAATTAGATGCATAGGCCTTAGGATTGACTTAGATCACTACTTTACCACACCAGGCTGTTTAAACTTTATGTTTCACGGACACTGAGCTTCTTTTTAGTGTACTCCTGACCTCACACATCGTACAAATGCCCGCAGTTACCTCAACTCTTAGCTTCCAACACCTTCAGCCTTCGGTAATTGGTCTTTTATGGACATGTATCGTTACGGCAGAACATTACCCTAGTCACGTCTACCTGGTTTCTGTGGAGCACTCTCAAGGGATGTTTGGGTCATGTCCCTTAAGGGTGCTCGTAGTGCGGCACGCGAGCAAGAGTGGTGGGCAGTGGTGGTTGTTGGTAACGTGGTTGTGGGGCAGCGGCGGCGTGGGGCGATTGTCCGCCAGCGGTTCGCGCGCTGTTTGAAGCACCCCGTCGACCAGCCGCAAGTGCGCCCCCGCTCACGCGCTACGCTGCTCCCGATGGTACGATCCTGCTGCTCACCGAGAACGGCACCAGGCTGATGACACGCGCCGCTGCCGCGAGCCTCCTGCGCGCTGCCCTCCTCTCCCCGCGCCCCCCTCGGCCCCGCCACGGTGAGCCGTCGCCGCACCCTCTCTTCATCTTCTCTCTTTATCTATGTGTCTCTATCAGTCTCCGTCGCCTCTCGCACTGCACGCTTCGCACTACGCTTCGTAAGGTAGGAGCGTGGCGACTTTATGCCAATGGTTATCAATATAGCTCTCGTTACTTAGGAGTTTTACCAAATTCAATTTCTAGCGTACTTTTAAATATTTGTATATATTCACGATACGACACGAATTAGATATTTGTAAGGCTCGTTTCAGTTCTTTTAAACACTACTTTACCAATTTGGTACTAGATTTTTTCTGGAATTAATTAAATCTTAGAGGAGGCTGACCCAATTATAATAATAAGATTTTAAATAGAATGTCAATTAGTAACATAGTGACTGCGCAGTTCGTTTAACTTTTTGTCCAAAAATAAAATTCATATATTTATTAAATATTCGCTCCTACTTTATGCCTGCATGCTTTCAAATTACTGTTTTCCTTTTTAATTTACACCATTTTAGACTTTCATTCGTAGCGAAGATATCTTGGCACATTGAAAGTCTATTTGGAATATCTTTCTTTTTGCATGTGTGCATGTTTACTTTCTGCATCTCCTGTTTTTCTACGATCTCTATGGTTACTGCGCGGCATAGACTGGCTTCAAATAATAGTTCGAGCGGGACTGCCAACCGGGGAGGCTTTGCTAATATCAGCTCCTTGTCGAAATATTTTCTAAATTCATAAGATTTTTAATTTTTGCCCGTTAAATGTCGTAAATTTGAAAATATCGTTGTTTTGTATGAATTGTCATTTTTGTATTTTTCCATCCGTCGGATCAAATTCTTTTTTATATCGATGTATGCGACTGATCGACCTACGCGATCGCCTCTGATGTTACCATTTCGGAGTCCCGTCGCGCTATGGCTCGATCGTCGAGCTTGCCCCTCCTAAGCGATTCGATGGATGATATTCCAGTAAAGCTGATGTCGGACGGAAGGATCGCGAATCGGAACGCAACCGGTGTGACTTCGTGGATCGGCGGTATGTCCATAACACAGGATGGAAACCTGATTGCACCGGACAAAATTATGACCCACATTCAACGTTACGCGAGTCCTCACTACAACCCGCACGGGCACCATTATCATCGTTGGAATCATGAACCAGGGGGAAGTGAAGATCCCTTGTATGCGACCAAGACTGTCTACGGACCTGGATACAATGATGAAAACCGTACGTATAGTTGGTATTATCAACGCGTTCACTGATCTTTGCACCTTTCACACTTTCTTTGAAGAATTTCAATACATGAAAAAGATCAGTGTACGTGACAAAAAAATAGGTGATATTAAAAAATTTGGTGATATAAAAACACATGTTTAACAAACTACAACTAACCATAGATATCGTATGTCACATTCACTTTGAGCTTTCAAACTGTACTTAAAGACGGTTTGTAAGAAACTATCAATACTTGGATAATTTATTGATTATCGTTCTTAAAGCACCTATACATGTAACTATTCTGAGTGCTCTTTCTCCCTTTATAATTTCGACCCCAGTAACTCGAGCACTATAGTTTAGCTCCTCCACAATTTTATAGTAAATGATAGTTTGTCCAACGGTACACAAAGTAAAGCTTTGCGTAGAGACAAATACTAGTAAAGATATAGTAAGCTTTAGAACCCTCGTACGCTTCCTTTCCTAATCTGAATAATTGTAGACAATCTAGTTTATAAAGGAGCGGTTTAGCGAAGGTACTTAAATAAGAAAATCTCCGCGAAGCTTTGCAATTTGCGCAAAATGTTCACGAAGCACGGACATTAAGCTACGATCATCGATCCACTGATGGAGTACAGAGATAATACTCCCGACCAAATGTTATTTATTTATAGAAGTACGCCGTGGTCCACTATGCATGTGTCCATTAAGTATTCTATCCATATTTAACTTTGAACCGGCACAGATACATCATGAACTTTATGCCTCATAACAGATACGTAATTTGAAAGCATGTCCAATTTATTGAGATTATCGCTTGTATTTAACGTACGAATTTCATACAACTTATCGATTTCATTATCAACCCATCGTGTTTTATTCACAACACGTAATTTTTGGTCAATTTCTTTACACAGTTGTTCCATATTGTTATAAATTTTTTATCCACAAAGTGTAAATTATATTTGTATCAGCATGGGCATATTATTATATCACACTCCAATATTACCTTTTTATTATTTCTTAATTATATTAATATTTTTCTTGATTTATTTGTTTTTGTCTACGTGTATGTATTTATCTATACTAATGTATTTATTCGTATTCGTTAACATACTTGAACATATGTTAATTATGTTAGTTATTGCGTAAACTAGAAGAGCAGTTAGAGACAAAACAGATTTTATTAATTAAATTTAAGTAAGATTATAATGATTATGTTAAATGTTAAAAATTACTATTATCCCTAATTCGTAATACCAAAACGTAAATAGCTTGCGTCGCGTTATTCAAATCATACGATATGCTGAAAATTAGTAAAAATAAATTTCGGAATTTGAAGCGTTTTTATAATTTTAATGTCCATTAATCGGTTTCCTAAAAGTTGAAAAGGTTTTGCATACAAAAAATTAATGAACTACTAAGAAGCAGTACGCGAAACAAAGGTACGTCTACCTTTCGGGAGAAATAACGGCCAAGAACATAGAACTATCATCACCAACATTACTTTCAAAAACACCACGTCAACTAACACAAACAAATACCAACAGAGAGGATTGGCAAAGAGAACGGTAAATCAGGTGATGAGAAAGTGGCCCTGCAGTCGACGTGCCACGTAGCTCTGGACGCGTGCATCAAAAACAGCGAGTGTGTGACGTCACTGACCCCCGTCCTGCAGAAATGCCATACTAGTGACTGCGACAGGGAGGGCTGCATGGCGGCTTTGAGAGGGTTCTACAGGAAATCCGAGGTGCATTGGAATACGGAGATCGCTTTTTGTCTATGCAAGTGAGTATATTTATTACTTTTTATAGATTTCACTAGGATGCCTAGCATATGGCCAACACCTACTCCTCGGGCATCACTCAAATCTGAATTAAACTTAACATTGATAAAACTTTGATATTCTTATGATATATGATCATAGCCATTACCATTTCTGTTGAATGATGGCCTAACAAGTGAGCTCCGACATACTTATAAAAAGATAAAAAGAATTCGGGGCAGTTAAGTAATCTCATTCGTACAATAAAATTAGTTTAACAGTAGTCATAAGAGTTCCATCAATACTAATATTCGACTTTGACTTCCAAGAGAATGAATTTATACTTTTCAGAAAGAAAGGAATGAAATTTATTTTGAAACTTAGTTATAAAAAGCTTGATACCTTTAACAAGACTTTGGTTGCGTTAATTTTAAAAAATACAACAATAACAGAATTGTCTCAACCTTCAAAAAGATTGTTATTTTACTACATCTAACTTTTATAATTAACATTTTTTGACCCTTTTACTTAGTAGAAAAATCGTGCTTAATTCATGTATTTAAGATATCAACATCTCAAATATTCCTCTACCCAGGATAAGCAAAGGACTGTTTCGAATTTACTCTTTAGTACTTTCACAGTTCACGAGTAGTGGGCACTACTCCACTTAAATTACTAACTTCCACTTAAACTACTTAAATTACTAACTAAATTACTACTCCATTTAAACTTTTACTTATGAACTTATTCAATTGGTTGGTACCTCAAGATTTTTCTTTCTCCAGGCTATTATTAACTTGATCACAGAATTATATTTCGAAAACAACCTTACCGAAATGTCAACTTGTATTATTCATTGTATATTTCAGCTTTCAATCGGTTCTCTGCTCATATTCAATCGGTATGGTAAACAATTCGGACGTACGCCAATATTCATGTATTACAATTACAATCAAGAGCTGAAAGATAGTATAATATATAATATACCTAACAACTTTACTTTACCCAGGAAAACTGACAACCGTGAGGACTCGTGCATGAACGCCCAGGAACGCCTACATCCATCATGTGCTCAGCGACCCCCAGTGGGCTCTCCGCTACCTGCTTGTCATATTCTTGCACATGCCTGTCGTGAAGAACCTGAATGCAGGTAAGTTGTTTTCAATCAATTTACTATAAAACGTCTCACACCACTGCCTCTATGTAGTCTCGAAGTCTGTGTAGTGATGGGTAAGAATACGGAGTGTCACCACCCCTATTCGTTCGTGGGTGTCATAAGAGCCGACTAAGGGAGCAAACTACGCAGGACAAGAGCACTGCTAAGACAACAAAAACTTGAAACAAACTTTATATCAACCTGTCTGGCCAGTGTCGCATTGTAGGTCAGAAACTTTCCTTTCTAAGGAGAGGTCTGTGTCCAGAAATAGACTATTAAAGGCTATTGATGATGATGATAATGTTCTCCATGAGAATCTTGAAGATTTATAATGCATAGAAAACTGGAAACTCCACTGTAACAACTTTACACTATTGCTATCTTATACTGCAGGGTCTGATCTTAGAATAACCAAAGCATACAGCAAAAGTGGTAAGAACATTTACGCTGTCATGTTCGCTTCCTACTACCTCTTCGACTTGATGAATAACCTGTTCGGATATAAACAGAATTCTGAAATTCATTTAAATTCTCAAGCAATTTTTTCAAGTTTCTCTAATTCCCAAGATTTGAATCCAGATACAACTGACAAACCAAAGGTGTCAGCTGAGATACAACAAATACGAAAGTTGCGAAAAAGCCAATACCAAACAGTGGACTGCCATGCTCTTGACTGAATAACGTTGTTGAAGAAAAATTGTTTAACTGGATAGCTCCTTCACGAATTAAACAAAATTGCCTGACCAATCAGATCAACTGAAATTTTCTCCCTCTCCATTTTAATGATTACCTAATGAATCTACAGTTATTTTGTACACAATGAGCCATTCGTAACTGCGTTAACCACTACTGGCTGAACTAACCTAAACAACAACATAAAATTTAATCTCCTCGCTAGGACAGTTATGTTGCAAACTTTGAGATTGAAAACAACACGAGTATAAATTAATTTAGAGGGTTCAAAGAATTAAACCTTCAGATGTAGGTACAAAAAAAATATACGAGTGGTTTCGCCTAAGTTCATTATGTCTACAGAATTAGAGGATTTAAAAGCATTGTTTACGCTCACTAAATGTTCAAACCAAATTATATCATTTAATACAAATTTAACCTAACTTTATACTACTTTACTCGCACTACGTCTACATGCGGTTTATTGGTATTATCCCACATCTCACAACCAAAGTTTTCATCTAATACCTGGTTCATTTACCAGATAAATACTTAAACAACAAAAATCCTGAAGACAACCTTAAGTGGAAGTAGGTGAAGTGTGGAAATAAATCACAAAAAAAAAACAAATTATGTTTCCGGCAAAACCTTAATTCACGTTACAGGCCTATGTCCTCGATTTGTTTGAGCGAGCTTACAATAACTAAACCATCCATATACCTATCATCCCTTTCTTTCCTTCCTATGAAGGAAAGATAGGAATGATATTTGAAAGGTTGGAAGGGTTGAAAGGGGCAGGTTTATGATTACCTGTCCCTTTCAGCATACGCCCATAACCTATAAGATCATTCCATCCTTTATTCTTTCATTTTATACTGTTCGTGTAGTGATGGATTAAGAACATAGAGTATCATTTATGCCCCCTATTTATGCCGTGGGTGTCCTAAGAGGCGACTAAGGGAGCAAACTACGCAGAACAACAGCACTGCAGAGAGAAGGAAAACTTGACAAAAACCCTATACCATCCCGTCTGCTCAGGGTATTATAGGAGGCCAAGCCCTCCTTTCTAAGGAGGGTTTGGCCTACTATCCTTCCATACTATTCTTCTATTCTATTCCATAATATTCCTTCTATGTTCAGGAGTGGACTAGTAAAGGCTGTTGAATTATTATGATGAATTACTTGTTTCATGCACACTCTCTCTAACATCAACACGCTAATAATTTTACGCAGTAAATAATTGTACCAAAATTGCCTGCGGCAATAGATTTCATCCATGATTTCATTGACATGTACTCTATTTAATTGCATTGCATATCTGTCTTATTTTAATAACAGTGCTTCAATTTTACTGTATCGTTACTGAAGTCCAATTATGTTTGGCGATGAATCATAATGAGTTTATACAACGAACAGTATGTATAACTATGCATGATTATCTTTATACTCTGTTATATTTATAGCTATCCCGAGCAACATTATCTGCCGCTCTCAAAAGGAATAAATTATCCCCGTTTTTGCAACTTTTTTCATCGCTGCTCTGCTCCTATTGGTCGTAGCGTAATGTTATATAGCCAATAACCTTCTTCGTTAAACGGACTATCCAACTCTATAAGATTTTTTCAATTCCAGTAGTTTTTGAGATAAGAGTGTGGAGAAACGGGTGTCATGTCCCTCCAACATAAAGGGAGGATCCTCCAGGTGAGCATGCCTGGCGGGCCGCGGCCAAAGATTGATGTTAGAAAGTTGTATATATGCAAATCGGCGAGAGAATTGTTAATATCGCGATGCAAGATAAGAAGTTATTCCGCAGTTCGGAGTGGCTTCGTTAGATGGCGCTGTTGAATGTTTCTACGTTTCGCCGTATCCGCAAGGATACCAAAGAGTGCGAAACGTGCCAGGACTGTCGCCGCCTCCGACGAAATAGTGCGGTATCCTCGTATGATTGATTGAGCTTAGCTCGGCAACGGGAGGAGGCCGATAGGCACTTGGCCCATATCGGCGCTCCGTAGAGGGCCATGGATCGTATCACCACACAGTAAATGGACCCCCTAGGTTAGACACCAGCTTCTGTAGGGAGCCCGTGACCCTAATGACCTAGTGAAAGATCATAGAAGTCACATAAGGTAAATGCTAAATAGTACCTAACCTATAATTTACTAAGTGAAATAAATACTTTGTATACCTTTTTAAACAAATAAGGCGTATTAAAGCATATCAAGTGACACCATTGAGTTAATAAGTATCTGATAAACATACTTATATATATTTATAAATACGTATACTCGTATATTATAAATTAATTAAACCCAGTCACAGAACCTAGTAGGACAAAACCTCCTTTCTAAGAAGAGGCATATGTCCAGCAGTAAAGGCTAAAGGCTGTTGATGATGATGATGACACACAGAACAAGCGAATGTACTCACAACCCATCTGTAGAACAAATCATTGTCACCTGCGGTATTTCCGGACTGATATGACCTCCAAACTTTCAAGAAAAGAGCTTCAAACTTTCTTCCTTGAAGGCCGGCAACGCGCTTGAGACTTCTGAGTTGCAGGCGTTCATCAACAGCGTTTGCTCCACGTATCCTAAAAAAAAATGTGTTAGGTGAGAATCGACCTCACGTACTCTGTCTCAGCGGTCAGGATCACTAGCCACTAACTAACTAAAGATATAATGGGGTTACACAATTAATATTTCATTGCCTGTCAATGTTGCACGAACGTTGCAATCAGTACGGCTGTACCACAAATAGCGTATCTAACACGGACGGACTAATTTCTGCTCCCAACGTCCCAAATACAGGCGCCCCATATGTAGTCTTCGAATATAGACCTCCTCTAGTCACTTGGAAGATTAGATCAATTACCCGCCGTTAGAGCAATAAACTGATTTATCAGATTGTAGTTAACCAGATGTACTAATTCAAGTATTAATATTAGTTCTAAACTAAATCGGCTTAGCATCGTAATTCGTTTAGTAGTTTAAGCCGATTTAGTGCGATGCTAAGATTTAAAGTCAAAAGATAAGGCTATTTATTGATTGAACATTTCAAATCAATTACACAAAGGTGTTTTTGCCATTACCAAATGTAAAGGATTCCAATACATTCAAAACAAAATTTAAATAGTTACTAAAAGAAAAAAATATTAGAATGTTTCGTACTTTTAGTCAGATAAATGATAAAAAGAATCTTATTGCAACCTACTATGGTAACTGGCATGGTAACCTGTGGTCATGATAGGTGCTAACCTACCATCGTGCAGTGACCCACACGTGTCTGTTTTTGGACCTCTCCTGTGGATTATAAGGTACGACTGGGCCCTTCGAGTTGATTTTCCCCCAGGACTGGGTGTAATTTGTTACGCCGATGATAGGTACATTGGTCACAGCCCGGGTGGCGACCTTTCAAGAGACGGCGCGCCTGGCCACCTGGGGAGTTCGGTCGGGTTAGATCCTACCGGTTCAGGCCCAAATGAAATATGTGACCCTGATCCTCGAAGAGGTGGCTCTTAGACGAGCACTTCCGACAGCTTGCTCCAATTTGGGTCAAATATCAAATCGCGAAGTGCTCGCCGAAGTATATCGGCGGACGGCTGAGTTCCGGACGGATAGTGGCAGTCGGCCCCCACCCAAAGAGATGGCGAGCGGTCTCACGCCACTCGCGAGCCGCGATGGCTAGTTGGTCGTCCTAACTGAAGGGTCCACGAGCTGGCTTTGCCGCCGTGGAGGCGCTCCAGCCGGTCATTCCTTTTGTTCCTTTTGTTCACGCAGGTCCTTTCCGGAAATGGCTCATTCAGAAAGTACCTGCACTCGGTCGCTAGGAGGGAATCGAGTCCCGCCTGTCAGCAATGCGATTGCAGTGTGAACTCGGCTCAGCACACGCTGGTAATTTGCTCATTGTAGTCATCGGGATCTCTCGCTACCGTCCATCATACGCTCCATGGCCGGTGGTGACAGATGTTTCACCGCGGTCGCATCCTTCTGTGAAAACGTCATCTCGCTGAAGGAGGCGGCGGAGAGGGCCCGGGAAGACAGCCTCCACTCGGACCCATTTCGACGCCGGCGATCCGGGCCACGGAGGCGCTCTTACCACCGCCTCATGCCACCCTAAGTGTGGAGCCCGCCTTAAGAACAACAGTTCTCGGATCCCTCCTATTACAGGCGCAGAATGGTACACCGTGTGGTTTTAGTAGGTCAGATTCCGACACACCCGAAAACCCCGGTGGAGTGAAGGCCCTAGGGGGTTTCCAGTAGTAAAAAAAAAGGTACTAACCTACCTAATTTTTAGGATACATAATTACCGAAAACTTTTGTTTGGCCGTCTATTTAAAAATCCCGTACGTCAAATATTTTCAAAAATCGGTGTAGGTGACATCCAAGTAGCCAGAGTAATCACATCAGTTATATCTAACAATGTCTGCCAACGTTGATGCCGCAGTCGAAGTGCACAATAAACACATGTTTCCATTTTGGGTATGGGTATGTAATCATGGGTATGGAATCGTATCTCACAATCAGTTTTTAAAGTAAAATATGTACGGATTTAGGTATTTCACACACAGTCTTGGTTAAGATATTAATAAGGAACAACAACGGTGTCGTGTGTTACCAAATGTCAAACTATCTAGTTCCCTCATAAAATCATTTTAGTAGAATTTAAACATTTTTTTTTTAATGATGGTTTGATCAGGGCCTGACAAATACACAGAAATTCAAAAATTAAATATTAATGTCGAAATTTATGCTGTAAAAATCAATCCAAGTATTTCAACCAAATTACTTTTAAAATATACGTGTACTACTTCCTACACTATTGTAACAAAAGTAAACTGAAGAAAACCGAACCATAATATATTGTTCCCTTGACTTTCCTCTTCGAAGTACGGATTTTTTATTATCAGATTTATCATCATCAGCCTATCGCAGTCTACTAATGGAAATAGGCCTCTCCCATTGCACGCTACTTAGATCGATTTTGGGCTTGTCGCATCCAGCTCCTGCCAAATCGTCACTCCACCTGGCCTGTGGGCGTCCTACACTACCTATTATCATATTAAATCTTATAAAATATAAACAGAAAATGTTAAAATCTTAAACTTGTGACAAAACTAATATGGCAGTGATACCAAAAGTAGATATGGGGAATATCCACTTTTGGTATCACTTTTGTGTAAGAAAAATAATTCAGATGAGTGTTTGTAAGTTTGTCAATTATGCGGAACTATGTCAATTATGCGGAAACGTATTTGAGAACAAACTGTAAGTTTAAATCTATACTTGAAACTAGTTTCAACTGAGTAACACTTAAAACGCGTTCTATAATAAGATCCATACTTAAGTTTTGATCTGCACTTAAAACTAGTTTCAGGCAATCAGAGTTCAACCGATACTTGAGACGTCTTTTAAAATACGGGCCTACGTCACATAGTATAACTTAGCTTGTGTAACTAAGACAATTTAAACTAAGAAATTATAACTTTAGAGTTTACATATAAAAGTACTTCTTCCTATGGAATACGTGCACTTAAATGGATTACATTTCATTACATGGTTGCGGAGAAAGCTAATACTTGCTGTAACTTTCTTAATCTCTCAGTTTAGTTTAATAAGGCTAGGAAAATTTTAAACGATATTGCTTCGATAGCCTTCGTACTATTTATTAAATAAGATGGTGGATAGACATATAAATTTCAGTATCTATATAATAATAATAAATTTATTTGAAGCCCAGATTTACATGATTTGTTTAACAATGACAGCCACACTAGGCTGAGCCTGCATCGAGGCTATCAATACAAAAGCATTGCATACATTTGGACAGAAGTAATAATAATATTTGTTTTTTTCTATAAATCTGATGTAAAATAATTGAAGGAGATCACTGTTTACTATAATCTATATTAATTTAATTGTCTAAGTTTAAGTTGGAGATGTGTGTGTGTGAGTGCGTGTTTGTGTTGTACATGTCTGAGTATGTAATATTAATACGTTGATTGATATATGAAACTCGATTACGGCTCGAACATTTAGGCTATTTATTTTTCTTTTTTGCCGTAAGGCACAAGGAAGGTTCTCATGGAGTGAATAAAAACGTTAAAATTGCGGGGGGAAAAGTTAAAACAACACTTTTCTTTTCCCGTATAAAACACAGAATAAATGAAAACAGCTGTATCTAGCTGTCAAATATTTGACGTCAATCAAAACAAAACCGTGTTTGGATTATCTTTGGTATGCCTTCAAGTTGATAAGGCCGTATGAACACTAATCTATGCCTGCCCAAAATAAAGTTCGAAGAAACAAAAGAGTTTGCGTTTGTCATCAAAGATAATATTACTGTCGTACGTGTCATCTTTGCTTCCCCTGTGTGGCATTTTATTGGATATTCGCTTCTCTCGAAAACCACAGACCAATCACTTTTGACAGAAAGAAATCTGTCTTGGCAGCTCGTTTTAATTAAATATGGCATACGGAAACATATCGTAATTCAAATACTGAATGTCTATGATGTAAAAGAAGTGCAAAAAGCTAAAATGTTTACACAGTATGAATTTGGACATGTCATTGTGCAAAAGTTTAAGACATTTAAGGTTGCAACCGCATGACATAAAGGAATAAAAAAAACAGTGGCACGCCGGGAGTGCCGAGAGAAGTGAAAACTTGAAAATTTCCAAATTTATTATTATAAAATTCGAATTCGATTTCAAAAGTTCTGACAAATATATATCGATATCAATATATGTTTATATTATATATAGTTATAGTTTCAATGTATTTCAACCCAAACTTAACTCTCGTGTAAACGGGGCCAATATATGGAGATACTTATATACAGAGGCGTCGGTAACGGTAACAGTGTCACGAGTTCAATGGTTTTTTACCATCTCAAAAAATACATTCATTTGTTTGTTGTTCAAAAATGCACAACGCGCCTAAAGAAGTTTTCACTTCAAAATATAAAATAGAGACAAATAATTGTTTGATGAGCACGAGCATTTCTTGTGTCTGAGTGTAATGTGTATATAATATGCATGTATCAAGAAATATATAAATATGTGTACCAGCAGTCTGGTTAACATAGCATCGGCGCTGCCTAGCTTGAGATCATACGGCGGTGTGTGAGATGTGTGAAATTATTATTATTATTAAAATGGCCTAAAATCCATTTATTTCATCTTTTTATCAATCACCATACTCAGAGATTACCGGCGGAGTATTGCATCTATATCGCCATACTCGTAATTGCAATAGTATTAATGCGGTAAAGTTACGGAGGGCACATCATTACACATTTTTAAAATGAACGGTCTGACAAAATATCCAATACACAGGAGGGGGGAAGTAAGCCTTAAAGGGTGTGTGGTTAAAGCTTTAAAGTGACAGATGCTCAATATTACCTGCATATTTATTTGGAAATATATCTGGATTATAATGTTAGTAATAAATACTTTTTTAATTTACATACAACGGGCAAAATTATGCAGGCAATAGTAGACGGAAAGATTTATAGAAAATAAAGATTTACGTAGTTTATTACGAGTATATTATGCAAATCCTTTATATAACTTTAAATTAAATAAAGCAGATAGTTCTTTTAATTATGGTAATATTTGAGCTTGTCTGATAGTGTAGAAAGTGCTTTAACAATAAAGGATTGTTGGTCAAACATAGACTATAGCCTGCACGGATGGCGTAGTAGTTTAAGCGATCGTTAAGTGTCGTGAGTTCAATCCTCACATGGAGCAATACTTTGTGTAATCCTCAAATTGTTCTTCTGAGTCTGTGTGTTCTTTATGTCAGTTTCATTAATGTATGTTAAGTACCCCGTGTCACATGATATTTCCTACTTGTCTTTTTTTTAATTGAAAATAAATCATGGCCAATGTAGCTGTATATATATACAATAAATGTATACATCAAAGTACTTTATCTTCTTTACAGGATCCGCTTGGAGAACTACGAACAGTGGTGCGCCGTAGATGCTGTGACCCAGGGCTGTGCAGGGTCCCCTGCCGCCTGCCGCACTGCCGTTGTTGCTGTTCTTGGCACTCAATTGCGTGCGGCATGCGCTTGCCGCGGAACTGACTTCGCTCAACTGTACGATTGTCTTGGATGGCAGAGGCTGCTGTGGCTCAATCCTTGCGTTGGTGTGTTTCCTGATGACAATATACATAGCAATTTCAACATTTGGAATCGGACTTAACATCCCGCGATCCAGTAATATTGAAAAAAAAAACACATTTCTTATTAAATTATCTATTGCCTCAAATATGCCCGATTTTCTGATTTTTCAGTTGATTCCTCCTTTTTTTGTCCTTATTTTGTCTCTACTAACAATTTTGAGTTTTGCATTTTAAACTGACTATTTCTGTAATGTTTCGGTTTGTAACTATCCCTTAAATTGAATTTGATCTATGATCAAGAAAACATTTGTATTTATCTGAATTTATGCATTTTACTAAATGTCAAATGAGCTGACAGACAACAGAAGTGCTACTTGTACTTATACTTAAAAACTGGATGAAGTATTATCCTGAGTTTTTTTTTGTTCTTTGTACACTTAATTATTAGGACAGTAGTAGCTATACGTAGAATTAAATTGTTCATAAATATTAATATATAACCTGAACCTGTACTATGGTAACCTGGCAAATAATTAATCAAACAATTAGATCATCTTCTGGATTTTCCCTATTAGGGATTGTTGTTCCTTTTTTTACACTCTATAACCTCGGTTATAAAATTTTGTCGCAGTGGAATCCCAAAGCGACTACCACATGAAGACATACGGTTCGCTGGTGACGACCACACCCTACGATAACGGCATTAGATACATCACGGGTCCCCCAGAATCACCTATCTACCATCGTACTACTACCCATCATCATAGACATACCACACCGCATGGGACTTCGCAAATTGACCATATGCAGGTAACAATTTTTACAAAAGTAAGGTTTCAGGAATTTTCTAATCGGTCATTTCCAGCTCTATAGGATAAATTAGATTATGAATATCGTACGTAGGTAACATAGAGATTGATCCCTACGTCAGGAAAAATAAAAACTTCTATTGAAACTCTTGCAAAATAAAAGTGTGGAGAAAAATTATTATGTTACATTTGACTATCTGATATAAAAAGGTACTATGTACAGCTTTAGGGGTAAAAATGTATGCACACTTCATTTAATCTTTTAGACGTGATGTAATTGTTTGGAGTCTTATTATTAATATTGGTTCTACAATAATAAAACAGCAACACTTAAATTCACAGGAAAACCGAGTCGAAATAAGTCCCATCACAACTATGTCGGAACAAACCGTTGGCCCGAACGAAGTTGCGCAAATCTCCGAGCCTGTTATTGATACCACAACTGAGACTACTACAGTGGCAACAACAACCACTACGACTACTACGACAACTACGACCACCACCACAACCACTACTCCTAGGCCGACCACGACTCTTGAGCCGACTAAATATTGCATTGTCAAGAAGCCGGAAAGTGATGACCAAGCGCAGTACATCAAGATGGGAGAGACGAGACGAGTGAGTGTAAATATTCTGCAAAGGAAACTACTAATACTTACACCGTTCCTAAATTATAATAAAACCATACGGAATGTCTGATAGTTAGGAATGCAGCTACATTTGCGTCTCCAAATCCTATAGACCTTTTGCTCATAACAAAGCTTATTAATATAAAATACTGGCACTTTGTTTTCCTCAATAGTGCTGTGTGCCAAAAGTATAATTCTATAGGGTGAAAGTTATTCTGTAATCACCACCTTATTGACGCCCCTTAATAAGATGGACTGTATACGTTCCTCCTCCAAAATTTCAAAACGGGCGGACTGTATCCCAGAAGGACTCTCTGGCTAATTCATTGCTTTATCTAACGACGGCTGTCTCTCGCTCTACCTAAATCTTCCCTTCCGGGTTTTCGGTTCCCCCGACTACAAGACACAAATCATTAGAATAGTAGTAACGTTCTAAATCACTTATTTTAAACATTTATCATTTATTCGTAAAACAATTAAGCTTTAGACCTACTGCATGCACAAAGAGTATGCTACTGCTGTGCTCAGGTCTCAGGTTCGATTCCCGGGTCGGACCAAATGTTTGTATGATCTGCAAATTTTTGTTCCGGCGTTTGGGTGTATAATATGTATGTATTTCCAAAAAAGCTCTGCATTATTTTGAAGCTGGATGGCGTTGTGTCAGATGTCCGAACAAAATTTTAAAAATATTTGTACAGGTACTTAAGGTTCTTTTAAATTTCAGCTATATCGTTCAGCTGAGTTAGCAGAATGCACAGATCTGTGTGTCTGTGAAGCAACTCTCCAGGTGTCCTGCAAGGTGGCGTGTGTCCCCCGCGCGCCGTGCTCGTCGAGACTGGCGCACTACTCGCACGCTGCGCCGGCATATCAAGCATACAGGGGACGCTGCTACTGTTACTCTGGGTCATTCATCTGCATGAGACCTAACCCAGGTGAGACTGTTGCAACAAATCTAAGTTTCCTCGTTCAAATACAATAAAATGGAGAGTGCAATTGCCGAGTTGGAGTTCCTAACTTGTTTCATTTATGGTGTATGATATATAATTATGTTTGAGATATTTTTTGGGAATTAACCTATCTTTAAATTGCGGGATTTTTATTTAATTAAATTGGACCCAATTTGCAGTAGGTAAATTCCCACACTCGTGTTTTTACATTTTAATCTAACTGGCATGGTCTTCGCTTAGATGTCAGTACGGAAGGATAAATCTGACAGGTAACGCGTCTGCTTGTTTGCCCCCTTATACCATAAAAATACTGTGAATATATTTATTACGCTAACATTTATTTTGTTCGTTTGTTAAATAAATAGATATAGGTTTGATGGGTGCAGCAGTGGGCTATTAAAGGCTGTTGATGTACCGTTTTTACTGACTATGAAGTATCACATACATATTCTGGCAACAGAAGACATGGGGAACCGTCTATTCATCAAAATGTGTTCCCAAACAAATATAAAAGTGTTTGATTGGAACTTCTTTTTATAAACAAAAGCATCGTGCCGACATTATGTATTATTTTGTTTATAAGTGAGCAGTTTTTTTAAGAATAAGTCTATAAAGTTCTTTAAAAATACAACGAAAATTAATTTAAAAAACCTTCAATAGTATAATACCTGTCTTACTGACTGCCTCGGTAGTGCAGCTGCTCTGCTGAGCAAATATGTTTACAAAGCAAATATTCGTTTCGCAGTTTTGGTGTTTTCTATGTATAATATGTATGTATTTACAAAAAAAAAGTATATAAGTATTTTATCAGTCAATCTAGCTTTCATAGCTCTGCTGAGTTTGAAACTAGATGGCGATATGTGTTAGATGTCCGAAAATAATGTTATTATTACTTTTAAATTTCAGGAGAATACAAGTTACCCGAGGGTGTGTACTTGCTGCTAGGATTTAGTGCAGTCGATGAAGCTCTACTGCGGCCGCATACTGGACTTGGTGCGGAAGATGCCGTGAGACTACTGCAGCAATACATCTACTCTGTTCATACCGAAGGTGTAAGTATGCTGTATGATTATTACAACCAAACACGAAAAGGAAGCTTTAAATTTCCACTTACGTATATAAAAACAATTACAAAAATAAAATACCTATTAACCGTAGGTAAACCGCTCTATTGAGTCTTCGCCTGCGAGACACTATGGCGCGGAGATAGGACAAGAACAGGGACCATGAGAGGTGCGGAGGAAGGGTGCTCTTAGCGTGATAAGAGAACTCAATTAAGCGATTTCTCTATATTAGGTTTTGACAGAATTCAAAAACTGTATAAGAGGTTACTGCAACATGCCCATTTCCGATCCTGTAAAAACCTTTACACTGTTTTCTTGAAGACCCCATACTGTATACTCTCTACACTAAACTTTGGAAGGGAGCTCAATCTGCAGCCGGACCGTTTGTGGGTAGAAATTCATCTGAAACCATACCGTGTGTGACAATTTTGTTTTCAAGGTGTGAGGATGAACGCCCGTAGATGTCAATAAAAATTTTCGCAGGAATCAAGAACAATACTTCTTTTCTATAAAGAAATCATAGTTATAAATTAAAACAATTTTTTCCCCACCCAATTCGTTAGACTTTGTAATGTAATGGTAAAATAAAACTTTTCAGACAAACTGCACCCTGACTTTGTTCAACATCAGCAACGAAAACGTCATTATATCTGCCAGTGTTCCACCGAGGGAGCAGGAGATTCTCAGGGAGGCTGGAGATGCACTCCTTGATAGAGAAAAGGTGAGAAACTCTATACATCCATAATATTGAAAAAAACGATTTAAAGAATGAACTCTTATTTTGATTATGTGACAGTTACATCTTTGACAAATATTTTCGTTTGTCTCATTCACAGGAGGAATGCATTGACGTACTGAAGGTGGTGAAAGGTCGTATCAATTCACAACACGAAGATATCTCATCGCATCTGCTTTTGTCCATATTTAAGATCGCCGAAGTAGACGTCGTCTACCCTACCCCTCCAAGCTCGGCCATAACCTCCCATAGGCCTGTTAAACTGTTCTACATAATAATTATACTCTTCACCTTGCTCTACAACTATAACTTAACTCTTGACAGCCTCAACTTTATCAACACGATCTTATTCTTCAAGGGTTTCGTCAATTCTTTGTCGAATTTATTCCAATCTAAGCTAAGAAAAGGGTTTACTATCCCTATCATGTTAGTCGTTCCTTTCGAGAGATATTTTTTTAAAAATACCAATTTTATACCTGTTTTGAAATGTTACAATGAATTTATTGATAAATATAATGTAGTTGTTGTAAATGACATTGAAACTTGGCACCATGCACTCGCTTTAGGTAACGCACAACTGAAACATATCACCGACGACTTAGAATTAAGTACCATAGATGTATATAATTATAAGGAAACTATACATATCATAAAAGCTGTGAGTATTACAATATTTAATAATTTTAATAAACTTGTTGCTAATGCAATTATACTTAAATATTTTTCTAGAGATGTGTATTACAAAATTGGATGTAACTATTATGATTCGATGAAGCTTTTTGGTGATTTCATTTTTGGAAATATCGCGTCCTCTTCTTATGGGATTGTAAAATCCATTAGCTTAGGACTGACTCTAGAGGTAGTATGAAGACTGACATGAATAACTAAACATATCATAGTTGTATTTCGTTTTATTTTCGACTTAGAACTGGTGCTTTGTAGGTCGATCTTAAAGGCTGGGTTTTGTAAATAAGTGTACTACGCCTTTTACACTATTAGACTTTTTGTTTACTCCGGTAGGGAAGATCATTTTGGGCTGCAGACATTTTATAACTAACTATTTCTCTAAGACTTTGCTACTTTTAAGGTATATTTCTGTGTAAGGTATTTCACTTAAGACGCAAGGAGCACAGAACTTTTTGCTCGAATATAGACTGCTCTATGTTTATATTCCCTAAAGTTACCTCTTAATGTTTTAAAATAAATCACGTGGTACTGGGTACTTTACAAAGAGCGGGCTCGAAGTATACACAGATTTAGGACTACTATTTGTGGATCACACGATTTGTGGATTGATAGATTTCGTAGTTTCGGTTCAATGACGAAGCAAAGACTTAAACTGCAGTCTGTTAGACTGCTATTATGATTTTGTACTATGAAAGCAGATCACGATGTTAATTATTTTTACATGCTTTGTTAATTCACACGTAAATGCACACCCTGTGACATTGTAATCACAATAACAAAATGACTTATATAGTCATTTTAAAGCTTATTCATTACTTCAATAAGAAATCAATTTATGTAATGATTGTGGTTCGTTATAAATCTGAGACAAAATACCTACCCGCGATTACGATGGTTACTATTTTGAGTGTGCCTCAATTAAAATAATAATGTTATCAGCATAACATTGTGAAGAATCTCTTTCAATGTACAGGCTGATTTACACCAAAAAGGGTGAGAGATATAGTTTTGCCAGATATTTACTCAGGTATCCCTTTTTACGCGCGAAAAACCCCTTAGACCGTCACTCTACCGAAGTTTGCGATTGGGTTGTGTGTTAGAATCGAACCTACTAAAACCACACGGTGTGCCACTCTGCGCCTGAAATAGGAGGGATCCGGGAACAGCTGTTATTAAGAGATCTGGATATACATATTTATCCTGCCTTGACCATAACTTACTTACTAACCTTTTTCTTTTATTTATAACTGTCCCGTTTCTGCGTAGAAAAACAAAAGGATCACTTTTTAAATGTCTGCAGCATGAAATCAAATATCCTTCGTTTCCCTTACATACATAGATTAGTCTCTCACGTAATGGTATATCGCCTTTCTGTTAGATGACTGTAAGTAGTAATAATATACATCAATGTGAACGCACGTTTAGAAATACAAGGTTTGGGCAAAACTTTGCAACGTTTAATTATATTTTCAATATTTATTTCCATTGTGTTCCTAAAATAGGCATGCACTTTTGTGTCGGGGTTAGGTTTGTTTATAATTAATTTATGTACCAAAACCATTCTTAATTATCTAATAATCAGTCCCAGAAGATATCTAAAATTCATTTCACCCTATTTTTTGCCTCAGACCTTTACGTCTATTCTGTTCTGCCACTATGTCTCAGGTCTGGGTACATTTAAAGACGGCCTGGAACACAATGAACATAGACTTAGAACTTATACAACAGCATATTGCCAAAACAATCCAAATCTAGGGAATAATAAAATGAAATATAATTAATAAAAAATAAATTATAACTGTAAAATAACGTTTAATAAACAATTTTTATTTTTATTTATCAGATATGTTTTGAAAGTATTCGAGTAATCTATTTCGAAACCATTTTTATAACACCTATTTTAATTTGCCAAGTTTTGCCCAATATAAAATGTAATTATGTTAGAAGACACGTTAGATATATATACTCCCGTTATGTAACACATAGTATCTAATGTAAAATGGTAAATAATAAAGCTTTAATTTGAAGTAGATATAGAATTCCTGTGTTCGAAAAAGTTATATGAATAGATGTGCTTAGATAAACCTGTTCGTGTTGTTTGACTGTTAGTGACTTGATGTACAAAAGTATTGGATTTCTTTGTTTAGTAATCAATTATTGTATATTAATTAAAAAAAAAATTTTATCTTAAAAACTATCCGATCATTATAACAACGATGAAAATAAATTAAAACTAATTTATAACATTTCTTCCAAAAAATTTCAGCTTCTATGTTAGATTAATTTTAGGCAGAAATATTTTTTTTCAGTCCATAGAGCAAGGAGCGCAGTAGTAATGTCTCCGTGTCTCAATTTTATTCTGTGCATTAGAGCCTAATTAGATAAAATAAAAAAAGATATAAGAGAAAACTTAAATTCGAAGAATTTTCAAACTTCGTAACAGTAAATGGAAGATATTCTATGTTCCTATTGTACAAAAGAATAAACGAATACATCAAATGGTACATGCATCATATACCGCTTACTTGTATTGGTGCCTCTGTTAATTTTCTTTTGTTTTGGCCAACATCTTCCAGTTATCCAAAATGATAGATTTTGGTTACTCTGTACCTTGGTACGGATTTGTATGTTACCGAAACAACAAGCTTGTGTTCCAATATCAGTTCAATACCACATAATGAAAGTCCTAAGTAATCTTCTTGTCCAAAAGAAATATTCAACCGTTTGTAATATTACTTTAAAGTCGTTAAAAGAATTTATTTTAGGTACCTTAGAGGTTTTTTAATAAACTTATGTTTTAAATATATTATTTTAATTAATGTAGCGTAAGTTTCACAGTACTGTAATGTTTTTTAGTTAAACGAGAAATAGAACCATTAACTGTAATAAAGCAAAGCGAAAATTTATTAATTTCTTTCTTAAGAACTTCATCTAAAATTTATTTCTTCATTAAAGTTGTTTTTAAGAAATAGATTTTAGCCTTATGGTGTATATAGTGATTGGACTATCACTAACTCAAAAAATATTTTTAAACACATTTGTACATGCATTATGTCCTTTTATAATTCTTATTTCACTTAAAAGCAATAACACAATATAAAAAAATAACACAATATATTGCTTCCTTTTTTAAATTTTATAAATGTTTATAATCTGATTGCTTTATTAATAAAGTACTCACGCTTCATTATTATTTAAAATTTAAAAAAGAACCTCCTCGTGGAAGCAAAAAAAATGTAATATGTGTATTTTCGACGAGGAAAACGAAACATGGACGTAAACCAAAGTAGTTTTTGTATACTCGTAAAAAAATGTTAAGGCGCGAAGTGCAAAAAACGCTGAGTGCTTTGGTTTTAATGTTCCATTATTAATTAAAAATCATACTTCATGGTTTATGGATCTTTTTTTTTTTCATTTAACATCCTAAATACTAGTAATCGTTTTCATATTTCAGAACATATTAGTATATATATATTCCTAGTTTCTATTGTTTATTGTGATCTAAAACGAATACATATCAAAACTTTGTGAAGTTAATGTAACGATACATATCAACAAAGCTCAATTTTATACCTATTATATTTCTAGCATTAGATGTTGCAAAGCAAATGGCGTACATCTTTATGTAGCTTAGATTTTAGAAAAAGGAAATATAGTATAGTTATATTATAAATAAATTTACATGAAGAATTAGATAAAAATATTTCTCAAGTTGAATGTTAAATTCTTTTGTAGATGTTAACATGAAACATTCTTCTTTTTTTAATTTAAACGCTTTAGACGGTGTTATCTTGATTTAGAAATTAAGGATCTGAATGTATAAAAATAAAACCTATTGACTACTGTAATATTGTTAGTGCACGCCTCATGCCTTCCATGTAAATAAGATATATAGAAAATACATTTTACAATATTGCATAGTAATATACCTGTTACACTGAAAAGTACCAACATGATATACAATTTATCAATAAAATTATTTATTTTCTGCACTCATACTTCTATGCGAAGACAAAAACATATTAAAAAATAAAGAATTTCATTTTCATCACTATAAAGAAGTTTTTCATTATAAAATAAATTAGTGTAATAATTGTTTATAGTTATTATTAAAGATAAATGTGCTATTTGTTTATAAAATATATTAATTATTTACTATTGATTTTACAGTTGATGTTTTAAAATTTGTTTATGTCGCTTCTAAAATGTGTGTTAGGTATAAAAATAAAGATGTCAGTGACTAATTAGTCTTGATGTATAGCAAAATTAATTATTGTAGACATGTTTAATATCGGTTTGGGAATCTAACACTTATTATTTTTTTGATAAATCTTCTTGATATTGCATAGAAAACTAAATAAAATGCATTTCCGTCCTAATTAATAAAGTATCATAGATCTGTACTTCTTTTACATCATTAATTTGAATGTATGCATTTGTAGACGTTTGTACGCAATAATAATAAATAAACTTTTCACATAAATTTATATAAGTAGACATTTATGAAGTTCTTAAGTATGATTTTAATAGAGATGTTTTTTTTATATTGGGAGGCTTCAAATAACTTTTTATTATCCATACTCAGATATTAGCAATTTTTTTTTTTATTATAACCTTATTGAAATTAATTGGTTTCCAAATCGATATTGAAGTATAATATTTAAAAATAATGAAAAATGTGAATACACAGCACTGTAGTGATATGCGTAACTGAGCTTCTAAAAGATTAACATTGTTTTATACACTATACTTACAAAACATCGTAAATACATAAACAGGAGTCGCTCTAATTAAATGCAGTCGGAGCCTGAGGTGGAGGGCGGGAGCATCTCCCCCCCGCCGCCCGCAAACTTCGCCTCGCAAGCCAGCATTCTTCTGTTCTGCATTTAATTCGCGCGCCTCATACATAGATTTCTATAATTTATCTTTGCTGACGTGATCGTTCTTATGTCATTTTTGTTGTAGCTAAATAAAGAGAATTCATACAAATGTATTTATTCATTTAAATATCGAATTTAAGAGTTACCCTCAGTACCTTAGTAATATTTGTTAGATATACTGTCAAGACCTCCTTTCCTAGGACACACTTGTCGTCCTAATGCTCAATCTTCAACCACATCGTTTTAATTTTTGTGACCAGTAACTTGAATGACAGTTTAACATACACATATACCTAAATTTCACAACCATTTTGAGTCTATGATCCATTTTGTTTAGTATGCAACAAAATGTTTTACCTATATAGGTATAAACTGACAGAAAAAAAATAGAATAATTTATTTCGTATAAACATGACGGAACTAAGGAAGCAAACTACGCAGGTTAACAGCACTGCAGAGAGAAGGAAAACTTGAAACAAACCCTATGCCAACCCGTCTGGCCAGAATGGTATAGTATTCCAACACCTCCTTTTTAAGGAGAGGCCTATGTCCAGCAGTGGACTAGTAAAGGCTGTTGATGTGATGTGTGTGTGATGTGAAACATGACTGATACAGTACAAGTTTCACGTTGCATGAAGATGTTATACAGGTGAAATATTCTAAATGTTTTACCAGTTATGGCGTACGAATTCTTACGAAAGTCACAGGAGTTTCAATGTAATTATAGTGGAAATAAACATTTTCAAGTTATTGTCAACAGCAACTATGTCAAATAATTTAAATAAATCCATTTCCTTGTAACAATATTCCATTTATTCATTAAGAAAGAGAACAAAACATCATTAATAATAATGTTAGGAAAGGCAGAAAATAAATCAAGAATGGTAGTTTGGAAAAAATCAACTGTTTTATACCTATAAAATGCTTTGATTTAAATTCCATCACACTTGTCACAAGTCACGAGTGAAGGATTTGCGTATAAAAAATTGGATATGTCATGTCACAGTCGCTTAATATTTGAAAACCCTAAGTTGGACTTTATAAAATAATTCATATCTCCGGAGATCCGCGTTTGTCGCGTTTGTGTTTTTTATGACAATACAAATTACGTAAATACGTTTCAAACAAATATGATAATACGAGTTTTCTCCACAAACATTAACATTACGGTAGCATGGATAATATTTTTTTACTACTTTTTACTGCTTGAGTAATCAAATTATTTTTGTGTTTACTAGTTCTTTAGGTGAATCTCCATCACAATCGAAAATATTTTATACTTGAAGATTAAAATAAAAGAGACATAACGGTTTTCTGGTTTTGGTTGGATTTTTCTTGATCTTGTAAATATCTCAAAAAGTATGAGAATAATATCTCAAACATATAAAAATTATATCTTAATTTTTTTTTAATTAAATTAATTTATAAACTAACTGGTGCCCTCGACTTCGTTTGCGTGGAGTTTGAAAAGGGCTGCCATAGTGGGTCCGATTTCCGGACTGGGCAAAGTTTTATAGGGTCTTTCTGAAAGAAAAAATAGCTTAAGTTACTCCTTATGCTGTTTTTTTTTTAAATTTATTTCATTTAAATTAAAAATATTTATAAATAAAAAAAGTATAATAAAACTTATTTACTATTTTTCTAATTATAACTCAACCGCTAAAGTTTTTATTAAGTCTCTTATCCTTAAATTGTCTTTCAAGAATATTTAAAACGGTGATGACCACAAGTTAGCTTCTATAACACACTGTGATAATACTGGGTAGTTATGACATGATAGCGTTGAATATTAATGTAAAAGTAACTACCTGCCTATCCATAATTATTAAGAGAGGTAGATGCGCCACCAACACACAAAACGTGAGTAGTGACACC